TTTTGATTTTTGCGTTTTTATGTCTGTCAACACGTTGATTAATATCACCGTTTGCAAACGATACAACGTCCGTCTATATTTGATCGTTTGTTCGTACAGATTGCACTTCATATGTTTATTTAAATTGAAAATAATTTAAGTTGAATATGATGTTTATTTAAAATATATTTCATTGAATGAATTTAACATACAATTAAGTTATGAAAACTTGCATAACGTAACTTTTTTAATTGACTGCTCCTAATTTTTGCAAATACCACTTTGAACTTTGTTCGATTGATTTGTTTTTTTTTTTCTTTTGTTTATTTAGCAATTTTCACAATGTGTGAAAGACATAAAAACGGTCATCATTTATTATCCATCAATGTAATCAATTTTAAGCCTCATCGCCAGAAAGGTTTTCATTAATGAACATTATGAATAGAATATTCCGTTGGTGAATCCTTGATCTTTTTCATCAATAGAATCTTTGATTTCAAAAGTTACGATTAAGAAGGTTATCATTGGGCATCCTTGCTAGTTAGCGTTTTTGGTAAACGCTTTTTGAAAGAGATGCATGGCAGGCAGCTATCTTGTATTTATCCTTTTTGGGAGGAATACCGTGGGATGTGAATAAAATTAGAATGTGATGAATTAGTTTATAATGAAGTTTATTTGTTCTTTCTTTGAAGGTTGTTGAACGTATCAAAGAGAATCCTTTACAATGTGAATTGCTAGTGATTAGTGAAGAGGGCGCTGATTGGTATAAAGAGCACAATATTCCTGTAACGCTTTCATTACCGAATATCATTCACTCAAGTGCTGATACTCTTGTAAGTTGTTATTTGACTTATATTCGTTCACCTTTTATTTAAACCATTAATTACTGCATTTGAGCATCATTTCATCAAGTGATATCATCGAGTAGATATTATACACCAATTTCTAGCATCAATTATATCCATCTGTTTTGATCAATGTCGTTCCGATTACCTATTTCTCTCACCATCTGTTTTCATCTTCTCCACGTCATCGATTTTTGTTCAGTTCAACTCATATTCATTAATCAGTTTTTCATTCCAATTCACACGTTTGATGTGTTTTTGATGTGTTCATTAACCACCATTTTTCTTTCTATCGAACATTTATCATAGCTCTTTTTTTTGTTGAAAAAAATTAGCATCGCTCTCTCCTCTATCCGTTCATTATTTCTGTTTTTTCTTTGATTGAAGTTTAAAAATTTTCATGTTCGTTTTTTCAGTTTCATGCCAATTTCCATATTCCATTTATTCGTTTTAAAAAATTCATTCAATTTGTTCCGTTTCATTTCAATTCGTCAATCAAATTTATTCAACATTTAATTCACTACATCCATTCCCACTTCACACAGTACATAATGTTAATTCTCCTTTGATCGTCGAGTGCTTCTCTCCTCGCTGTTATCATAACATAATGTGTTCCTAATCACCTTCTCAGTGCTCTCGCTGTCCGAAAATTTTTCATTTTCATTATTTCTCACCACAAAATCATTTATTTCGTTTAAAAACAAATTAAAATTACCACCGAACGCACCACCATTACATTGAAAACATTTATTTTTAAAGCGAACAATTACAGTTCTCATCGTAGTCACTATCATTCCATGACGACGGTTCCTTTCAGTGTGCTTTGTGCCAAACAAAACTGATGAATGAAGAATGCATTTATTATTTTGAGTGTGAGTATTTGTCTGCGTGATCAACGAACGCTTGCTATTCGAGTTGCGATCGCATGTGAATAGGCCATATCAATGGAATGACTTCATGTGCGATTCTGTTTGATAGTGATGAAGCTCATTCGAAATAATATTGTTACGATTCTAGTCGTCAGTATTATGACAATGACTGTTGTTATTGTTAACATTGGTGCTGTTATTGAAAACATCAGAAGCAGCAATCAATAATCTGATTGCTATAGTAATTGTAATAGTGGTAGTAAGGATGCTGTTATTATTCAGATAAAAACTCTGATTATTCTCGTTCATTGATAATTTATTACTTGTTCGGATAAACCATCATTTTGCAGTCATTGATCGAACATCATTCGTCATCATCGTTTTGTAATCGAACAGAAGTATTGTTAGGTTCATGACTAGAAAGTCGACAAGCAGCTATATAAAAGATTCACTCATCATATCCACAATTGTTTTTATCAGTTGTTTTTTTTTAAATTCACTTTGTATTCGAAGAAAATCTTATTACTTCAACAATGTTTCCTATCATGAAACAGCCTAATCATTTGTTCATAAATATGCCCTTGCATTACAAGAAGCCTCATCATAATTGTCGGATTATTTGTTGTCAGTACAATAGTTGGATTCTCACCGCTGATATTAGTACTTATAGTAATTCAACTACATCATTCATTATTTGCCTCCTAAGTTTATTCATTTGAATCTCCTTCGTTGTAGTATATGCACATCTGTTTATCCATAGATGGTTTTGCTTTCGACCTCTTATGATCATATACAAAATACTTTTGTTATATACTATCAGAATATACATCGCTAACCGTAACCACTTACCTCTCGCTGAACTAACTCGATCGATCTCATATTCGTGTAACTCTCATATTGTTGCATCTCAACATACTTCACATTTTACTTTCTACCTCTAATTCTGCAATAATAAAAGAGACTGCTCGTCTATTTATTTTGTTTTCAGCTATCTATTTCCTGATGACTTATTCGCGTTTTTATTTGTTTATGTATTCATTCGTTTAATCACTCGAAAAAAAACCAAGCATTGTCTGTCTGTCCGTCCATCTCTACTTCCAGCCTGAATTGCTCGTTTTAAAGGTTTTTCGTTAGTCTGGAGACTTTTTTCATGCCAATAACTTTGAATTGGACAGAATTGGAATTCCAGAGTGTTCTCAACAAAAAATTTTTATAGGTGAGATTGCAGTTCGCAAACCAAAGATTATTCCTTCATCTTGATACGGTTTATTGATTTTCTTTATCAACTTGGGGGGGGGGGGGGGGGGGGGGNGGGGGGTGACTAACAGTAATGAATTGATGATGATAACTGGAAAATAATATTACAGTCCAGTGTTTCTCAAACTTCTTTACGTTCCTCTCCCGGAGTTCAGCTTCTCGATGCACCCTCTCCCTTCCCCTACCCCTCTCCCGGAGATGCATGAGTTCGTTACATTGTTAAAAAATCCAATCTGTGGACGATCGTTTCGTTAGTGCGCCGCTGTAGGAAGGTTGTAGTAGTATCAACTATGCAATATATGATTGAACTCTTAATTAAAGAGAGGTATTCAAATAATCTTTCGCTAAGCATTCCTCCCTGTAGCCCTCCCTGGCCGTTCGACGTTCATTTTGAGAAACACTGATTTAGAACATCGCTTTGCTGATATCTCGCATTATATCGATATGAGAGTACTGCTTGCTTATTGCATATTGCATTCATAAAATGTTGTGCTTTGCCTGAAGGAGTGATCTCTAGGTGGTGTCGCATGGGATATCGCATTAACATATGTGTGATGCATTTGAAATCAAAATAATCAAACCGGAAAATGTTCTTCTCAAATCTGAGGATTTGCTGCGTGTATTTGAACGTATGGTGATCATCGAATGATCACAATCAAATCGATGAAACGAGTAAAATGTTGATATTTAAGCGTAAACAAAGTGATTATTCGATATCGCAATCCAAACAAACAGTTGATCAAAAACTCAGCAGCGCATCACCTACACCCGACGCCAATTGGTACGCTCCTAAGGTCAGTCACTATCGTTTTCGTTAAGTTCAGTACGACTCTTCTAATTTCTGATTATTAGCATTATTAGTTCCACTTATGACTTTCATTATTATCTTTGTTAGTATCATTTTTGACATTACGGTCGTTGATCTTCTCATTAGTATTACCGCTGCTGTTGTTATAGTTGGCATTATAGTCATGAGGGAATAAAAAATTAGTCATGAGGAAAGAAAAATTGAACCGTTGCACAGCAATGATCGCAGGTATTAAGGCGATTGTTTCCGTAGTTATTATTGTTACTATAGTTGTCCTCAATATTGATGATAATCAAAAGAAAATTAGTTATCTGCTAATTTTATAATCTTTGCTCAACAATTACTTGCAAAAATAGTTAGCATTTCATTGTTGTGCTCAATGGCTGTGTCTGATCTCATTAATGTTCATCTTTCATCGTTTATCTTTAGGATGCATATGATTTGCGTGAATGCAATACTCGACTGTCATTTCTCAATTATATTTTCATTTTTTTTTTCGTTCCACTATTTCACTCAAATTGAATTAAACTCACTTGAGTTCAATCAATTCACTTTATTGCTGTTTGCTTGTGTTTCCTATTTGCCAATATTATTGCAGTTAATGTTGAAGTTTTTGAGAGAGCACTTCAAAACAACAGGAGTATGTGTTATTACAACGATGAATATACACCGCATTTATTGTCTATCGCCCTGATAACTCCGGTCATTGCTGTGTATCGTTTCAATTTTTTCTTCCCTCATGATTGATTTTTTTTTGATTAGGTAAACGATCCTCTTTGCCCATCGAAAGAACTTATCAGTTTCATTTATATCGTTACATGTTTCCACCCTTTGTAATTTCCATTATAGGTTCTTCTCGGTGATCGTTTTTATTTCATCTTTTTTTTTCAACAAAACCAATCATTTCCTTTTTTCTTACTTTGGATATCGGCTTATGCATGATTACCTTTATCGGCTTATATACACACAAATATTCCAGATTTCCTTTTGCTTTTATCGGCTTATGCAAAAATATCTAAAATTCACGGTCAAATTTAAAGTTCTGCTGAAGAAATTTTTATCTATGAAATCTGTGTGAATCTGAGTTAGCTGTTGTCAACAGCCATAGAATTGAGCATAATTACCCAGTTAAAACAAACTGTTCCTCAGATGATTTATTATGTTCCTGTTTTGAGTTCGTCACAATGATTCTTTTCTTACGTGAAGGCTTGCATTCAGGTAGTCATCGTTAGATTTATTCTAAACTTTCAAAGCATTTGTTCGGTCATACCGAGTTTCACTTCGTTATTCTTGTTTCGATACCAATCACTTGAGTGAATTCAAATAATGAGCTTCAGTTTTGCATCAAACTTTCTTTAAATACCATATTCTGTTACCATAAACCGTCTTCGCATGGAAGACTCATCTTGAAAGGCTGCAAAAAATACAGGTTTCCACTCTCGAATGATGGTCTCTCTTGAATTGAGCCCCAATTCTAAAAAAGCTTAAGCCGTGAGATTTGTATGCAGCGGAATACGGTACGCAACTTCATTTAGTGAATTAGAGAAATGCTTCCATTCGATTTGCTTTGAATCGTTATTTTTGCATATCGATCCATTTTATATGTGGTTATGGAATTGTTCTGATTACTGCAGGAACAATATTACGATAAATCGGCGTCGTTGCAAGCAAAAACTCCGACTGCGACTACTGACTCAAATATGACGAACAAACCAAGACCGAGGCTTTGTAGACTGGTATCTATCTATGTGTATAATCATCTCTTCCGTTGAATACGTTTCAACTTTTGTTTCAACTTTTCAATTCATATACCTTATCGTTTCAACTTTTGCCCATTCAGGGCATTGAAGATTTAACTTGTAATGAAGCATTTACATTGTAATTTTGATGAGAGCGCAATGATGTGGATGCGGAATGTGAGGTTATTTAAAGGTGAAATCATCACCGAGTGATGAATTTGGGTTCAATCTCCACGCAGAAAAAAGTCGCGGTCACTTTATTGGCGCAGTTGATAAAGATGGTATCGGTGAATTGGCTGGTCTTGAAATGGGACAGCGTATTGTTGGTGTCAACGGACATTTAATATATCCAACAACACCACATAAGGTTCCATTTCTTTCAGCTTCAAAACCATGTCATAATTGATCAGTAATTTCCAGTAATATCAAACCGATTTTACGACTCTTATTTGTTACATGAAAGGATGTCGCTTTCAGTCTGAAAGTTACTAGTTGTTGAGATGATAGAGTTCATCGACTGTTATCTGATTGAAGCTGTCGAAGCTACAGTGAAACACCAACTGTATATCACAAATGAGCCATCAAAACGAATCACTAATATGATCTGATTCGTTATTGAAGGAGGTGGTTGGACTGATAAAGATGAATCCACTTCAAACTGATCTTTTGGTTGCGTCCGAAGAGGTGGATCGTTGGTATTCTGAAAACGCCAGTGAATTCTCATTCGATTTTATTGATCGCTATCAAAGCAATCGGAGTGTACGTTTTATTTATTGTTACCATTATTATTGTTGTCCCTCTCACTATTATTCTTATTCTTTTATGATTGTTTGGTACTCATTATATGTTGGTTTGAACAACTGCTAATTTCTGTCTTAAAACTTATCATCGCAGTGTAATGTTGAGATTCTTTATCGTTATTGTAATTGTTGTTGTGTTGTTCACTGTGATCGTAACAATAACAATTTCTAATTTAGATGAATGCTTCAATGAACACCTAATAGGTTCAGGGTGGGAGGGATGATTAGGTGAAGTATGCGGAGTGATTATTTATTTGTTATCATGAATGTAGTGAGCGATCGTAAGTAATCCGATTAAAGAGTTGGGTAGAAGTTAACTATTGCGATGATATTTTAAGTGATTGCTTAGTATTCTTGTCCATAACTGTTGTAGCAGCTTTAGTGATAACAATATAAGAGCGAACAGAATTTTTATTTTCAAGTATCTAATAATAATGATTTATTCGTATGATACCTTTTCCATGCATCACAGTAATTATCTAAAATTGGTAATATTTACATTGTTGACTATTTGCATTCGGCAGATACGTTCAGTATTAATAGTAAACAATATGGTATTTTTATTTTGCTGATATTAATTTACTAACTCTCGTAATGATCATTAATTTCCATTATTTCGTTTCGAATTGCTTCACCAAATCATACCCTTCATTATATTACTGATGAGGATGGCGTTCTATTAGTCTCTCAATTCATTCAGATAATATAGAAGTACTCCGTTCACAGGTGCCCTCAAGCACGCGTAATTTTCATCAACTCGGAATTCATTCCATGAAAACATTGGCGTTTCTCTCATTCCGTATAGAATCTTTAATCTTTAAGAACTCCAGCATTGATTATCGCACGACATACCCTCATAACTTCCGTTGTTTATTTCGTTTTCTGTTCGTTCATCATGCGAGCTAATTGAACTAGTCAGTGATGCGTTCAATTCAATACGCTCTTTGAACACTGTAGTGTTGAATTTCAAATGAACTAAATCAAATTTGATGATCATCAAACATTTCCTTCTCCGCTCTTCTCGTGATATTCCATCGGAGTGTTCTCCCCCCCAAAAAATGCATATTCAGTGAAATGAAGTACATCAATTGTGCGTGCTTTCATGCTGAATGACTCATTCACAACATTTCTTGAATGATGAAAGCTTGTTTAGCATTGCGTAATGCCCACGTCAATATTGCACTGACGTCGGTGTGTTTACTGGAATTGACAGAAGAACGTCTCATTGATGAAAATTATCATCGGTCATTGTTTTTAGTTGTGAATGACTCGGCATTTTCTGTTTTTGACATTTTTGGATGAGATCCATTCAAATGCGGCTGTAATTGCAT